ACGAGTCACCTACATCTTCTCATCGTCACCCCCTCCTTGTATCGCATCGGCGCCTGTTCTCATCCTTTGTCAATCATACAGCCTTCTGCCGGGAGCCCTGCGCATCGTTTGCCCCCTCTCGCTTCTCACGCCTCTCGAAAGCAAGACCAAAGCGTGAAATTGGACATTGAGCAGCCCGCAGCCACTCGACTTCCTGCGCTCTCCTTCCCGCCGCTCGCGCCGCGCCGCTCATGCATACCGGCCCAGACGGTCGAGCGCCGCCGGGCCCTGCTCGTACCACTCGGCGCGGCTGACCCAGAACTCGTCGCGCGCCTTCATAATGTCGGCCAGCACGGCGCCGCCGAGGAAGACCATGTGCTTGCGGCGCGGCGGATCTTCGATTCGGATCTTGAACGACTGCAAAGGAGGAGGGGAAAGAGAGGGGTCAGCAAGGGGTCAGCAAGGGAGCCAGACAAGTGTGGCGAGAGGATGAATGCACGGGGCACACTCACCTTGAGACGCTCGCCATCGCCATTGAGCACGCGCGTCAAGTACAGCTGCTTCATCTCCTTCTCCAGCCGACTCGGCAGGCCGGGATACATGCTGCTGCCGCCCGAGAGGACAATGTGGCGGTAGAGCTCGGCACGCGTGTCGACGGCGGCGGCCTGGATGGTGTTGAAGAGCAGCTCGGCGACGCCCGGCTGCTCCACATCCACCAGGTGCGGCTGGAACATGCACTCTGGCGCCTCGAAGCGCTCCGAGCCTACCTTGATGACGCGGCCGTCGGGCAGCTGTTCGAGCGCGGGGGTAAAGTCAGCATGGGGCTTGCCGCCCACATCCCACGCTGGCTCCGATGCAGAAGCTCTGAAACAACACTCACAGTGTAGCTCTCGACGAGCGTCGTAGTCTCCTCTGCCAGCTTCTTGTCCAAGTCGAGATCATAGCTTTCACACGGTTCTTACCATCAGCTTTATGCTCTCTCTCTCTCTCGCTCGCTCTCCTTGCCTCGCGCAACACTCACCTCATGAAGCACAGCTTCTCCTTGATCTGCCGCACCGTCTCAAAGTCTGCGGTGCGGTTGAAGGCATAGCCTCGCAGCAAGAGCAGCTTGATGAGGTAGCGCGTCACGTCGCGCCCCGCCACGTCGAGCCGACGCGTGAGGTGCGGCAGCGCAAAGCCTTCATACACGGGCACCACGTGCGTCACGCCGTCGCCGCTGTCGACTACGACGCCGGTTTGCAGACCTAGAGAGAGGGGAAAGGGGTGCAGCGGGTCAGATTGCCCAGCTCTCGAGCTTCCTTCTCTGCATTCCTGTCCATCCAGCCAACGCCTGCCCTTTCTCATACGACGGTCTTTTCCCCCCGCACGCGCCCCACCGCACAGCCCCTGCTTGCTCTCACTCCGCGCTCACCACTCACCTTGAGCATACAGCGTCAGGACGGCCTGGATGGCCACGTAGACGCCCTCGAAGCCATACTCCTCAAACATGATCTGGCACATCTGCTCGCGGTTGCGCTTGGGATTCATCGGCGGCTCGGTGAGGAGGATCTTGCGCCCGCGCGGATCGAGCTTGAGCTTCTCGTCAAAGGTGTAGTTCCACACTGCGGTTGGGAGAGGTGAGCGGGAGCAAAGGGGATGGGACGCGCAGAGCAGAGCAGAACAGCACAGAGCAGAGCAGAGCAGAGCAGCACAGAGCAGAGCAGAGCAGAGCAGCACAGAGCAGAACAGAGCAGCATGCGCGACGCGAGGATCCTTGCCAACCCGGGCGCTGTGGGCTGGCAGCCTGCACGGCTCCACACGAGGGACTAGCCATTCGCACGACTGCACTGGGCGTGCCTCGCCAGACCCAAAGGCGCCTGAGCAAGGCTTTCTCCCTGCTTCGTGCTCGGCCCGACGCCAAGGCCCGCTCTCTCGTGCCCGTGCCTTCTCTCCACCGCTCGCCCCTCGCTGTACTCCTCGGCAGCTCTCTCATGCGCTGCCGCCTTCTGTCCGCCCCTCCATCCGCTCCTCAGCATTCCTCTTCCTTCTCCCACTCCCTCTTGCCACTCACCGTGCCGCATGTCGTCAAAGTCCTTGACAATGCCATGCTCCATGGGCTGGGTGATCTGGAGGTAGTTGCGCAGCGCCGCCGCCTCGTCGCCGACCATGATGTCCTTGATCTCTGCGACGGCGGCGTCGCGCTCCTCGACGCGCAGGATGGGACGGCCGACGATGGAGGGGAAGACGTGCTCGGGAAAGTTGGAGCCGGCGTAGCCGACCTTGACGAACTGCGGGTGGGGAGGAGAGAGGGTGAGAGGCGTGCACAGGTGCCGCGCGTGATGCGGCGGGGCGGGCCGAGGCGAGAGCAGAGAGAGAGAGAGAGAGAGGGAGAGAGAGAAGCGCGACACTTACACCAGTGCCATTGTCGACGACGACGGGACGCTCGTCCATGCTGGGCGCGACGTGTGTGTGAGAGAGAGGGCGGGTGTGGGTGGATGGATGGAGGTCGAGGGCGCCCAGATCGGCGCGCCGTGGAGGTTGGCGCGGCGCGGGAAGCGGGCATCCGCCGTCGCAGCGTGCACGGGCGCCGCCGTGCCTGGCTGGGGGGCGTACATCACGTGCAGCACCGCCTGGAGTGCACGGTTGCGCTGGCGCCGCCATGACGGCACGCGCCTCGACGCGCCGTGTTCTTCTCTCTCCACCTCACTCCACACACACACACCGCAATGGCCGAGCCCAGCGCCGCTGTTCGGCGCCGGCCAGCCGCTGCGCAAAAGGACGACGACGACGACGCCGCCGCGCGGGCAGCGGCGCAGCTCGCGGCCGAACAGCCGCGCGAGAGGCTTGTCAAGGACGTGCGTAGACCGCCCCGTCTGGCTGCACCTTCGAGTGCGGCCACCCAGCTGACGCCGCTTGGGCTGGCGTGTGACCAGCATCCCGCAGCGCAGGCACTCGACATCACCACGCACGCCATGTCCTTCGCCCGCGACGCCGTGCCCCTGGCAGCCGTCACGCTCGCCGCGGCCGGGCTGCGCTTCTACCTCATCTCGTGCGTGTGTTGCTCAGCTCTGGAGCAGCGATGGGCTCTGAGCCGGCCAGCTGATCAGGGTGGATCCTGTCCAGGCATCCGGCGCAGGTCGTCTTTGATGAGGTGCACTTCGGCAAGTTTGCCGCTTACTATCTGCGGCGCGAGGTGAGTGGTGATCAGCATTGTGGGCGAGTCTTTGCGTGCCCCACCTCGCCGCTCGACTGGAGGCTTTCGCACAGCCCACCTCGCCTCACTGTACGGGCCGCTGGAGCTGCAATTGACGTTCTGCCCCTGGCAGTACTACTTCGACGTGCACCCGCCGCTCGCCAAGCTGCTCAACGCCTTTGCCGGCTACGTCGCCGGCTTCAAGGGCGACTTTGACTTTGAGAACATCGCCGACGACTACGTCGCCAACGGCGTGCCGTACGTCGGCATGCGTGCCCTGCCCGCGCTGCTGGGCACCGCGGCCGTGCCCGTCGTGTATGCGATCATGCGCGAGACGGGACATATGCCGGCTGTCGCGGCGCTTAGTGCGGCGCTGTTGGCTTTCGGTGAGTGCAGTGAGGTGGGGGTTGGGGGAAAAGGGGCCGAGGGCGGAGGAGGAGAGGTAGCGGCGACAAAAATGAGGAGCTAGCAGGATGAAAAGCAGGGCGTCGAGGGATGCCCATCGAGGGCATTGGAGCTGGTCCGAGAAAAGCACAGCTGGCCAGTTGCTCACCCCCTCTCTTTGCGCGTCGCCTCGCCTAGACAACGCACACATTGCGCAGGACCGCCTGATTCTGCTCGATGCCGCGCTCTGTCTCTTCATGATCAACAGTCTCTATTGCTACATTCGCTTCTACAAGGAGCGCTACAAGTGAGCTCTCTCTCCCTGCCCCTCCTGCGCCGAGTCCCGGATCCGCGTGGACTGACAAACTTTGTGCACACAGCGAGTTCTCGCTGCGCTGGTGGGCATGGATGCTGGCGACGGGCGTCAATCTCGCCCTGACGATGAGCTGCAAGATGGTCGGCCTGCTCACGTTCATGGCCATCGGCTCGGCCGTGGCGATTGATCTGTGGAACCTGCTGGACATCCGGCGCGGTCTGACGCTCGTGAGTGTTGTCCGTCGGCGCTCTCAATGCGAAACCCGCCAGCTGAGCGCGCACGTTGCCCCCGCAGCACCACGTCGGCCGGCACTTCTTTGCGCGCGTGCTCGGCCTCATCATTGTGCCTGCCATCGTCTACATGTTCTGGTTCTGGGTGCACTTCGCCATCCTGACAAAGTCGGGCACGGGCGATGCGTTTATGAGTGCCAACTTCCAGCAGACGCTCGAGGGCAACGCCATGCTGTCGCAGGCTCGAGGTGAGTGCGGTGCTCGCAGATACTCAGATTCTCAGGCTGCTCACTTGCGCGCGTTGCATGCACAGAGATCCACTGGGGCGACAGCATTACGCTGCAGCACAAGGGCACAAAGGCCTACCTGCACTCGCACCTCGACCGCTATCCGCTCAAGTACGACGACGGACGCATCTCGTCGCAGGGCCAGCAGGTGACGGGCTACCCGTTCAACGACACGAACAACGTGTGGAAGATTGTGCGGCCCGAGGGCGAGCTGCCGCACGATGCGCCCGAAGAGGAGCGCATCGTGCGGCACACGAACCAGATCCGCCTGCTGCACGTCAATTCGCAGTCGTACCTGCTCGCACACGACGTCGCCTCGCCGCTGATGGCGACCAACGAAGAGTTCACGGTGCACCCGGCCAACGACTCGAGCCGCTTCAACGACACGGTGTTTGAGTTCAACATCGACGGCGTGAGTGCGACGTCGCGCAAGGCATGGAAGAGCAAGGCCGTCCTCTTCCGCCTCATCCACGTGCCCACGCGCGTCAGCATGTGGACGCACACCGAGACGCCGCTGCCCGACTGGGGCTACAACCAGCAGGAGATCAACGGCAACAAGAACGCCATGGAAAAGACGGCGCTGTGGTTCGTCGATGACTTGATGCCCGACGAGGGTGAGTGTCAAGCTCGACGGGCCCCCTCTTGCCAGCTTTGCCCGGCTGACAACCTCTTCGTACACCCAGACTCGCCGCTCTACGTCGAGCGCACCGAGCCGCTGCCGCCGCGGCCAAAGACGCGCATGTCGTTTCTGCGCAAGTTTGCCGAGCTGCAGATCACCATGCTGCAGCAGAACTCGCAGCTCACGCAGAGCCATCCGTACGCCACGGGCCCGCTCAACTGGCCGTTTCTGCTCCAGGGCATCTCGTTCTGGACCGAGGACGCGACGCTGAAGCAGATCCACATGATCGGCAATCTCGTCAGCTGGTGGACGTCGATTCTCTGCGTCTCCGTCTTTGCCGGCATCATGGGCGCCGACCTGCTCGCGCGGCGCCGCGGCATCGAGCCCATCGACCCGCCGATGCATTCGCGCATGCTCAACTCCGGCGGCTTCTTCTTCTTCGCCTGGGCCTTTCACTACTTTCCCTTCTTCCTCATGAACCGCCAGCTCTTCCTGCACCACTACCTGCCCGCGCACATCTGCAGCTGTCTGCTCACCGGCGCCGTCTTCAACTTTGTCGCCTCAGAGACGATCAACTACCCCGTCTCGCGCCCCGGCCCGCTGCTGCGGCCGCACAAGCTGCGCGCGCGCACGGACAACGAACTGCCGATGCCGGCACGCGCAGTGGCCGCGCTCACCGTCGCGGCGCTCATCGGCTGCTTCTGGTTCCTCAGTCCGCTCACGTACGGCGAGCCCGGCCTGGACCCGGATCAGGTGCGTAGCAAGTGCACGTGTGCGTGCCCTGTCACCGCTGCTCACATGCTCCCTCTGCAGGTCAACCTGCGCCGCGTGCTCAGCTCCTGGACGCTGCACTTTGCGAAGTAGATGGCGCCACTGCCGGTGCTCGCGCGGCCGCACGCCATCAGACAAGCACGGCTCCCTCAGCTTCTGGACACAGTAGCGCATGGCAAATCGATAGGTCTCTTTCCCGGCCCCCGATAGCAATAGGCGTGTCCGAGGGCGCGAGCTGGGTAGTGGGAGGAGGAAGAGGGGGCAGGAATGCCGCACCGAGAGCGCGCCAGGCGTGACGAGGCGGCGCGAGTCTTGTCTGTGAGAGGAGAGGGGCGCGAGTGGAGAAGCAGGAGCGAGAATTGAGCGCGAGAGCCGAGTCGAGGACAAGTAAGGAGCGTAGGGGAAGTCAGTAAGGGGAGCGAGGCAGGCCGGCAGCGCGCGCGGCAGCCAGAAAGGGGCAGGGTGGGAGCGGGTGACACGAGAGCATAGTACACGAGGCAGTGGGCAGGAGAAGCAAATCGCGAAGCACAGGAGCGAGTGTGTGTGACGACGACGACGATCGCTCAGTGCTTGTTGAACGTCTCCATGTCGTTGTAGCCGACGACGTCGTCCTCGTTGATGCTCGAGCCGGCCGTGTGGGCGCTGCCGCGGTGGGCAAAGTCTGCGGCGTTTGGCGTGTCGATGTAGATGCTCGAGCCGCGGCGCGGCGGCGAGCCGGCCGCCAGGGCCGGCGCACTGGGCGCCGGATCAGGCGTGTACAGCGTGCGCATGCCGCCGTTGCCGCCCGTGGAGGGAGCGGCGCGCAGCGCGGCGTACTGGCGCAGCGCGTCGTCCGGCGAGGTGACGTTGCGAGCGGGAGCCATGCCAGTGTTGGAGTTGACGGCGGCGGCGGCACGACGAGCGGGGTGCTCCGGCGCAATGGCGTGCGCGCCGGCAGTGGTGGCGTAGTGGGCATGGTCGATGTACTCTGCGCTGCGGCCCTGCTCGGGCGCGTAGGCCGAGTCGCCGCCGTCGGAGAGACCGCTGATCGGGCGACCGGCGTTCAAGGCGGCAAACATGTCCGTGCCGTCCGACTCCTCGCGGCCGACACCACCGGTGACCATGGAGAGGGCGGGGTACTTGAGCACCGAGTTGCGGAAGTCGCGGTCCGCATCATCGTCGCCGTTGGGCGTCAGGACGCGCGGGCGAGTCGGCGAGCCAGAGCCAAGGGCGCGCTGGGCGTCGATGGACTCGCGCATCGAGTGCACGTCGACGTTGCCGATGGGCTGCGGGCCCTGGTTCTGCGTCGGGCTCATGGCCGTCAGGTCGGCCGAGTCGTCGATGTCCTCGACGGCGTCCTCAGTCGCACCCTGGGCGTAGGGCGAGTTGCGGCCGTGCTGCTGCTGCCACTTGGAGTTGCTGAGCTTGGGCAGCTCCGGCGCGTCGGGGTCGTAGTAGCTGTCGTAGTTGGAGCGGCGCGAGCCGCCGACGCGAGGAATCGAGCCCGAGGGACGGTGGCCGCCGTTGCGCACCGCAGAGTGGCCCTCCGACGAGGGACCGTAGGAGATCTTCGACACACGGTCGCCCGCCGTCGACTGGGCAAACGAGATGCGGCTCTGCGTGCGGCTGTCGCGGTTCTCGCGAGCGGCACCGCCGAGCGGCGAGGGACGACGGAAGTCGGCCGGGTTGACCTCGGCCATCTCGGGCTCCTCCATGCCGCCGTACACGCCGGCACCACGGCCGGCCATGTTGTCGCCGTGGTAGTCGGCGCCGCCGAGCGACGGGCGGCCGCCGGCCAGCGAGGGGCGCGTGAAGGTGCTCTGCGGACGCATGAACGACGCCGGACGCGAGCCGGGCGTGGGGCCGGCGCGGCCGTCGCCGCCGCTGGTCCAGTCGAGCGAGACGCGCGACATGCGCTTGTCCATGTGCTCGGCCCAGTCGGCGTGCTTGTTGTTGCGGTTGATGTGCAGCTTGCGGATCCACACGGCCAGACCGCAGAGCAGCAGGATGATGGGGCAGACGATGGCCGCCGTGAGACCGCTCTTGGTCAGGCTGCCCTCGGCGTAGAAGACGCTGATCAGCTCGCTCTTGAGCGACGTCGGGCCGCCGAGCTGCGCCTCCTTGGGCGTCGAGCCGTCGGCGGGCTTGATGTACTGCGACGACCAGATGGGGCCCGTGGGGTTCTTGCTGTCCCACGGCTCGTTGCCCGAGCTGACGATGTTGAGCGAGAGGTTGACGTTCTCCGTCGAGTTCCACCAGCGCGGCTCCAGCGACACGTCGTACGAGCCGCGCGAGGCGGGGATGCCGACGAAGGCGTGGATGGGCAGGTTGGACGACTCGGAGTAGGGCGCGTACATGTAGATGTCGATCTTGTCGACGCCCGGCAGGCACGAGTTGTCCCACTCGAACGTCGTCGAGTTGATGGCGGTGATGCGCGCGCCGGCGAGCGGCGCCTTGTACAGGCCGCCGGACGCGCACTTGTCGACGGCCGCGGTCGCTGGCAGCAGAGGGGTCAGACAAGGGCCGCAAGGTGGTGCTACACGGTCATGAAGGAGAGCCAACTCTGATCGTGCTCCAGTGCGAGATGGACCAGCACGCCAAGCGTCACCCTCTCCCGCCATGCTATCTCGTGCACCGCAGCCTCGCCTCTCGCCCATCTGCCCGTGCATCCGTGCCACTCACCAGCCTGGCGCTTCTGCATGCTGAGCGCGTGGTGGTGCGCGCGGCTGGCCACCTTGTGGCTGGCAAAGGCGTGGCCGAGGCGGATGTTTGCGAGGTGGTCGCCGAGCGGGGCGCGCGCCTCGACGGGCTGCTCGTCGTGGCTAGACATGGCTGGCAAGGGAGAGGAGGCAGTGGTCGGAGGCAGGCGGCGAGACGGAGCGAGGCACGAAGAGAGGCAGAGAGCGTCTGCCGCTGGGGCGAGACTGCAGACGAGGAGAGGCGGACGACGGGCTGGATCGAGGCAGCGCGTGCGCACAGAGGAGCGCGTGTGTGGCAGGCAAAGGAGAGGCAGGTGTGGGTGCTCGACGGGTGAGCAAAGTGTGGTGTGAGTGTGGTGTGAGAGACGAGCGGGAGAGCGAGTGGAGAGAGTGGGAGAGCGGCACGGTACACAGTACGCGCAGGCCTAGGCAGGAAGTGGATCTGGGAGAGGGGGAGATGGGAGGGTGGGACAGAGGGGCGCAGGCGTGGCGGACGGCGAGGGCGCAAGCGCGGGCACGCCAGCAGCGGCGGCGGCGGCGGCGGCGAGAGGGCGACAACAGCGAACAACGACGCGCGGCGGCGGCGCGGCGCAGCGGCACGCAGACGCAGCGAGCAAGCAACAGCACGCGCGCCGAGGGTGCAGGCAGCTCGCCAGCCAAGGCTCGAACGGCACCAGGCAGCGCAGGCGGGCAGCGGGCGGCGCGGCAGGCACGCGCAGGGCCAAGGCACCTCGCGGCACGCACGCAGCGCATCAGACGCGCCCGCCGCCGCCGCCGCCTCAGCGCCTCTCTCCGCGTGCACCCCTTGTACTCGAACACTGCCGCTGTGCCCGCATGCGCGCCGCACGCCAGAAGATGCACCTCGTTCCGCAGACGAACGTCGGCCAGCGCCGCTCTCGTGCCCGCACCGCCGCGCCCTCGCCTCTCCCCGGCGTGCGGCACATGATGCAGCCTGCGCCCGCCGCTGCCGCTCATCGAGATGAGGGCTGAGCGCTGAGCGGCGGCGCTTGGCTCGACCTCGGCCTCTGCGCCTTCGCTTCATCCGAACTGTGTCGCCATCCTGGCGGACGAGCGGTGGAACCTGAATGATGCCGCTGCACGGCTAACGCAGATGACAGCAGCAGGCAGGTGCCGAGGCAGGAACAACGAGATGAGCTGGCTTGCCGATCACGAGGGTCAAGCTGAGCGGTAGACTTTCGCACGCCTGCCCTCTCTCCGAGCTCGGACTCGCCGAGGTCCGGACGCCGACGTTGCGAGAGGCGGCGGCGACCCATCGTCGAGCGGGCGCATCATCTGTCACCTCTGAGCCAGACGCGCCACGGCGTGAAGGTGCAGAACGAGTGCGCATCTGATTCGGATTGGCCAGCTCTCGCGGCGCTACCGTTCATCGTCCGAGTCAGCCTCGACGGTAGCGTACCTCTCTCCATCTCTGTCCCTCTGCGGTCCCGTGTCCTTCAGCGGCGGCGGCCTCGATTTGCCGCCCTGCTTCTTCGCAGCGGACGAGGCTGGCGGCGGGGCATGGTCCTCATCGCGAATCGGCGCCTCTTCGGCCTCGCGCGCAGACAGTGCCGCAGCTTGTTCCCGCGCCGCGGCCTCGTCATCCTCGGCGGTCTTCTCGCGGAAGAAGTAGGCCTGCGCCACGATGACGGCGTCGATGGAGAGCTGGAAGAGTGCGCAGACTGGCGGACACAGCGATGCGTGTGAGAGGCATGTGCATGGAAAGGCGTGCAGAGGGCTTACCGGTGAACTGGATCGGAGAGCCCTGCGCTAGAAAGTACACCGTCTTGAACGTGTCGCCGGCCAGCCAGCCGATGAGGACACTCATGCGGAAGCCCGACAGGGAGCGACGCTGCTGGTTGCTGTGCGTGGCGGGGGCCAATGAGCACACATGGCATGGCATAGCCGTTCCTCGCTGCAACTCACGTAATGGCCTGAGGAATAGGCAGCGTGCTCTCGAGCCCGAGGGCAAAGTAGCCCAGCGCAGAGACGTACGTCGAGCTCCAGCCCAGCGTGAAGTGCAGCACGGTGAGAAGCGCAGCAAAGCCCGTCAGGAAGAGAAAATATCTATCGCGCAGTCGTCAGCTTTCGCCGAGACGCAAGCACCCGACCGACTCACGGCGGCAACGTCAGCCATGTCCAAAAGCCAAACGGCCGACTGCCCTCGCTGCCATCTGCGCGCTTGCCCTCGCCCAGCTTGGCACAGCGCTTGATCAGTCGCCACACCTTGTTTCCCTGCGCTTGTTCCGCCACCTCGTCATCCTCCTCATTCCCCAGCGTCGGCGCCGGCGGCAGTTCGAGGCCCAGCAGCGGCGCATACCTGCCTCGTCCGCCAGCTGCAGGACCAGAGAGCTCTGGCGGCGCAGGTCCATCCATGGACGGAGGGCGCACGGAGATGGTAGGCGTGCTAGGCGTGCGCGCACTTGGCTGCCCGGCGTGCTGTGCAGCATCGAACAGCGGCGTGCGTGCCTCGCCGGAACGCGCGTCGGCAGATGAGGCAGTGAAGGCGGCGTGCGCGTAGGAGCCGGGCCGGAACTTGAGCAGCAGCGAGAGCAGGTAGAGCTGCGCCACGATCATGAGGACGGACTGCAGCAGCAGTGCTGAATAAGTGGCGTGAGCACTGCTGCTCGCTGACGCCGGCGAGACGGAAGCTGCTCACGCAGCTCGAACGGCGCGCCCAGCCAGAAGAAGCAGCGCGCGATGTTGGCGATGAGCAGCACAGCGCATACGTCTGCAGGGGTGCATGCATCAGATGCCGAGCCAGATTGTGAGACATACTTCTCGGCGCAACGCACCCTTGCTGAAGCCCGACGAGTCGCGCTTCTTCTGGATGCTCCACGCCTGGTCGGCGTACACGAGGGGCGCGCCGACGGCTGCGGGCGCACAGACGGCGTGAGGAGAAGGGCAGGCAGTGCAGGCCATGACGAAGTTGGCGACGCACCCATGGCGAGGCCGGCGAGCGTGCTGAGCAGAGTCATGGCTTGCGCGCTTCCCGTGGAGCTGAGCGAGAGGCGTGAATGGTGGAGGTGAGAGCCAAGGTGTGGCCCGTTCGCGGCGCTGCCAAGTGTACGGCGCAGCGCCTTCGGCCGGCCGAGCAGCGCCGACACGCGCGGCGCGGGGCGGCGCGCGCGCCGAGGCGGTGCTCATGCAGGGTGCGCTGCCTGCTTGGTGTTGCTCTCTCTCCTCCCCGCCATCACCACCCACCGTGCAGCACAGCATGAAGCCCGATCTCGAGTCTGGCGCCGCACCACGCGTGCCCGGTCTCTTCCGCCGTCGTCGCAGCTTGCTGCTGCTGCTCGTCCCGCTGCTCGTCGTGCTGGGCCTCTACAGCGCCGCCTCGCCCTCCTCCGTCTCCTCCACGCTGCGCTACGTGCAGGATCGTGTGCGTCCAGCGCCGCTGGCTGCGCTGCCCTCAGCGGCGCATGGCGCTCCGCCGCCTGTCGCAGCACTGGGAGAGGGCCGCTACGAGGCGACCGAGGCGCTGGCCAAGCTGGCGAAGGAGCACGGCGTCGTCCTGCCGGGCACGCCGCTCAAGCTTGCCGGTGCCGCGGCGGGCCCTGCGCCGGAGCCGGATGCGGCAGCGAAGCTGGCGCTCTTCCTTCGTCGCATCGAGGATGCGGCCTGGACCGTGCCGGATGACAAGACGGCGCGGCAGCTCGTCGTCAGCCCGTCGGGCGCGGAGGCGGAGAGGAGCCTGCGTGAGGGACGCGGCGGAGAGGCTGAGGCTAAGGAGGTGAGTGTGCCGCCGAGCTGCGAGCGACGTGGCGATGGGAGCGACCGATCAACACTGCAGTGCTGACATCCCTGTGTGCAGTACGTGCGCTCGCCGACGCGCTGGGGCATCTCGCACCAGCCTGGCCTCGTCATCTTCTCCAAGACGTACTGCCCGTGAGTAACATACCGTGGCTTGAGGAGGCGAGTGCTCACGAGGTTGTCGCTGCAGATACTCGAAGAAGGCCAAGGCTCTGCTGACGAAGCTGGGCGCCAAGTTTGAGCCTGTCGAGGTGGACCGTGCGTGGTCGAGAGTCTGGAAGCGCGCTGCCGTCGCTAACGTCTGGCCTGGCTGCAGTGAGGTCCGACTCGGCAGCGTTCAAGGAGGCGCTCATGGAGCTAAGTGGCGGGCACAGGACGGTGCGTGCTGCCTGTCTCATCAGATGCGAGGCCATGCGACTGACATGTTCCCGCCCGTCTGCAGTTCCCGCAGATCTGGATCGGCGGCAAGTTCCTCGGCGGCTCCGACGATCTCGCGCTGCTCAACGACCCGCCGCTGAACGTGCTGCACGGCATGCTGCAGGCCGCCGGCGTCATGGGCTAGGACTGAGCTGCAGCTGTTGTCCTGAGGGGCGCCAGCCAGGGCTGGCAAATGTCACCGTTCTCACGTCGCGCGAGTCTCTCCTGTCACCGCTGTCTCCCGATGCGAGCATTCGCGTGCTGACCATCAGCGGCTGCTCGACGCTCTCGCTAGTGTGAGCGCGTGCCAGAGAGCGTGTGCGGGGTGCGCTAGCCAGCGGCAGGGTGCTGGCTGCGCTGCAGGAGAGGTGCTGTTGCCTGCGCGCGCGCGCGAGTTGAGCACACGCGAGGCGCATCGCTGCCGTCGCGCGCCTGGAGCCCTGCTGGCCGTGGCGCCGTGGAAGCGTCACGCCTCGGCCACCTCTCGCGCGTCTGGGAACCGCCCGCCGCGCGCCGTGCCGCTCGCTGCGCTCCTGCCCTGCAGCTGCTGCGCTCTCGAGTTGCGGCTGCGACGCGCATCGCCTCGAGCTCGCTGCACAACACTCGCGCCCGCACTCCGACTCACACCACCGCCTCCTCGTCCCTGACCGCCGCCTCCGTCTCCTCGCAGCACACACAGCTGCGCTCCCACTCGCAGCAGCCTCTATCAGCTGCGTGGCGCCTCAGTCCTCCCGGTCACGCACTGCGCATCGCTGCGCCCCTGCCGCCTGATCGCGCTCTCGAGACTCCGCTTCGGACCTCAGAAGCGCCGCCTCTCTGCTCCGTGCCTCCTCTCCGACCGCACATCGCCAGCCGCGCCCCGCGCTGAGTAGCCCAGCATGGACACGGACCTCATCAAGGTCGTCAACCGGCTGCAGGAGACGTTCAGCGCCATTGGCGGCGATGCCGTCGACCTGCCGCAGTGTGTCGTCGTCGGCGCACAGAGCTCGGGCAAGAGCAGCGTGCTGGAGACGTGAGTACGCAGGCGTCTGCGCGATGGCGGTGATGGAGAGAGATGCTCAGTGCGAGGCCGCTGGCGGTGGGGTGCGGCGCGTGGCTGGCATCTTCAGCGAGCTCCAGATGGTAGTGGCCGGGCGATAGCGGACCGCGCTCGGGACAGCGCTCGCGACAGCGGTGTTCTGCGAGACACAGGCGCTCGGCCTGGACGTTCGAGTGGAACAACTACCTACGGAGGCTGCGGGAGGCATGGAATGCACCTCCAGCAAAGCCAGAACGCTGTAGCAGCTCGTGCGTTCGGCACGAGGACCCTGTCTGACGCTCCGCGCTCCGCAGCATTGTTGGCAAGGACTTCCTTCCACGTGGCGCTGGCATTGTGACTCGCCGTCCTCTCGTGCTCCAGCTCGTCCATGTGCCCGCCTCCACCTCCGCACCGGCGCGGTCCGGCGAGGCGCCCTCTTCCTCGCCGCGGCCCACGTACGAGGAGTACGGCGAGTTCCTGCACCTCGACAAGCGCTTCACCGACTTTGGCGAGATCCGCCGCGAGATTGAAAACGAGACGTTCCGTGTGGCGGGGCAGAACAAGGGCGTCTCGAAGTTGCCGATCCATCTCAAGATCTACAGCCCGCACGTGCTGAACTTGACACTGGTGGATCTGCCGGGCTTGACGAAGGTGAGTGCTGCCGCGAGATGCGTTGGGGGCCCACAGGCGGTGCGATGCAGGCCTGGTGCTGCGGACTGCTGGCAGCGCACACAGAGCTGCGCGCTACTCTGCTCAGGCGTGGAGGTCCAGCAGCTTGTGTGCTGCAGCTCCCACACCTTGCCTCGACTCCAGAGCACAAGGCTCTCTGCCGGCAGAGCCGCCTGTCTGCACCGTCTCGCCCCGACCGCTTCACACGCTGCGGCGCGCCCCGCTGTGCTCTTACTCACTGCGCCTTGTTGCAGATCCCTGTCGGCGACCAGCCCACGGACATAGAGCGACAGATCCAGGGCCTGATCACGTCGTACATCTCGAAGCCAAATTGGTGAGTGCGACCTGTGCAGCCTGCAGGCCCCGCCTCGCTCACTGACGTGTGCGCGCAGCATCATCATTGCCGTGTCGCCCGCGAACGTGGACCTCGCCAACTCCGACAGCCTCAAGCTCGCCCGGGCGATGGACCCGCGCGGCCTGCGCACGATTGGCGTGCTGACGAAGCTGGACCTGATGGACAACGGCACGCATGCGCTCGACATCCTGACGGGCCGCGTGTACCCGCTGAAGCTCGGCTTCATCGGCGTCGTGAACCGCTCGCAGCAGGACATCAACGGCAACGTCAGCATGGCCAATGCGCGCCAGGCCGAGGAGGAGTTCTTCAAGAACCACCTGGCGTATCGCAACATTGCGCACCGCTGCGGCACCAAGTTCCTGGCCAAGTCGCTGAACCAGGTGCGCCGCGCGCGCATCAGCGCCGCCTCCTGTCGCTGACCACCCCGCCTCCACCAGGTGCTGATGGCGCACATCCGCGACAAGCTGCCGGACATGAAGGCGCGCCTCAACACGCTGATGGGCCAGACGCAGCAGGAGCTGGCGTCGTTCGGCGACACGGCCTTCCTCGGCGACGCGCACCGCGGCTCGCTGATCCTCAAGCTCATGACGCAGTTCGCGCGCGACTTTGTCTCGTCCATCGACGGCACGACGTTTGACATCTCGACGAAGGAGCTGTGCGGCGGCGCGCGCATCTACCACATCTTCCACGACGTCTTCGGGCACGCGCTCGACTCGATCAACCCGACGCAGAACCTGACGGTGCAGGACATTCGCACTGCGATCCGCAACTCGACGGGCCCGCGGCCGAGCCTCTTCGTGCCCGAGGCCGCGTTTGAGCTGCTCATCAAGCCGCAGATCAAGCTGCTCGAGCCGCCGGGCCTGCGCTGCGTCGAGCTCGTGTACGAGGAGCTGATGAAGATCTGCCACAACTGCACGAGCACGGAGCTGCAGCGCTTCCCGCGCATGCACGCCCAGCTCATCGAGGTCGTGTCGGATCTGCTGCGCGAGCGCCTGGGCCCGACGTCGGAGTACGTGCAGTCGCTCATCTCGATCCAGGCCGCCTACATCAACGTGAGTCGCTGTGACTGACCGCGCTGTGTGCGCTTGCTCACATGCGCCCCTTTGCAGACCAACCACCCTGCATTCGTGCAAGACTCGGCCAACATTGCGCGCCAGACGCGCGAGGGCCACCGGCCACAGCCGCCGCTCATCAAGGGCTCCGACAGTGGCTCGGCGTCGGGTGTGTTCGAGGACGACGAGGACGAGGCGGAGCATGCTGTTGCGCGCCAGGCCAACGGCTTGCACAAGCCGAATGCCAAGGGTGTCGATGCGCGCTCGGCATCGTCGAGCTTCCCAGACTCGTCACGAGCAGGCCCCGGCGGCCTGCACGCCGCGACGATCGGCCATGCGTCGGCGAGCGCCATGAGCCGCAGTGCCGGGCGCTCCGACAACGGCGCGGCCGGCGGGCGTGAGTTCCTGAGCTACTTCTTCGGCGGCGCCTCGGGCATGCCGGGCTCTGCTGGGCCCGCGGCTGCCTCTGGCATCGGCCCGTCGCGCGGCGCCTTTGCCGATCCGGCGCGGGAACACAAGCCGAACCCTATGAGCGGACGCACGGGGCTCGAGGGCAGCAGCGCGGCGTTCGACATGAAGAGCCTGGACAAGCACATTGAGGCGGTGAGTTGATGTGAGAGCAGTGTCTCCGCCGGTGCGCTTGCTCACCTCGCTGCCTGCTAGACGCCGTCGTCTGACGAGTACCGCCTTTCCGAGCGGGAGGTGCTCGAGACGTCGCTCATCCGCTCGCTCATCGCCTCGTACTTCACCATTGTGCGGCAATCGATCCAAGATCTGGTGCCCAAGGTGAGTCGACGGGAGCAACGTGGCGGATGCAAGACCACGTGCTTATCACCTGACCTCCAGGCCGTCATGCATCTGCTCGTCAACTTCAGCCGCGACGGCATCCAGGCGCGGCTGATCAGCCGCCTGTACAAGGAGTCGCTGTTCAGCGACCTGCTGGAAGAGGACGAGGCGACGAACAGCGAGCGCCGGCGGGTACAGGCGCTGCTCGACGCCTACAAGGAGGCACACCAGAGTGAGTAGCACCGGAGCAGCCGTGCCGGAGCATTGCCGACGTGCCGGGGCAGGCGTGGCGGAGCATTGCCGACATGCCATCGGCTGATCTTGCTCTCTCTCGCGTGCAGTTCTCTCCGATGTGACCTTCAAGCCCTGAGCCAGCGCCAGGGTGCCGACGGGAGCGTGGTGCCGGGATGGGCGCTAGAGAGAGAAGAGAAGGGGCCAAGCAACGGTGTTTCTCCACACTGACGGGTACTTCTGCCGAGACGCGGCCTATTTCTGGCGCATCTGCTTGCAATCTCCATCACTCACCAGCACCCTGCGCGCCACCATCGAGCCCCTCACCTGCGGCATGAACACGTCCAGGCTGCAGTTCGGTTCAGCCTGATAGCGGGGAGCGGCTCCGACGGCAGACGTCTCTGGTACGTCCGGCCTAGCGTCGTCGCCGCTCCCGCAGTGCAGCGCATTGCACGTGCGGCATGCGGCGCGGGGAGGGTCAGAGCCAGGTTTAACCGGAGGGCCAAGGTTCGAAGGGCCCCTCTCGCGCATCGGCGCCAAGTGGCCGGCAGCCGGCGGGGCTGCGGCGCTGCGCCTGCCTGCTGCCAAGCCGACGGGAAGCGCTGCACGCATCGTTTCTCGGCGGGCGCGCGGCATGCAAAGCGTCGTGCGGCGTGATCGGATCGCAGCTGCAGCGCTCGCACGAGAAGCAGAGTCGCCGAGTCCCTCCGACGCTTGTCGTACGAGATGGCATCGGCCTTGGACGCTGCGCTCCCTCTCCGCACGGCGCTGGGCGCGAATTTCGCCCTCCTCTCTCAGCCGCAGCGATGTCAGAGCTGCTTCGTCACGTCGGAGTTGCTCGGGAGCACGGGAGCGCATCCCGCGGCCAACGTGGGGTGCTGCCTGCCGCAGCTGCGTCTGCGTCCGTTGCAACGAGAAGGCGAACAAACCCAACGCTCCAGCTGCGCTCTCCTCTGCGCTGTCGAGTTGCAGCGCGCAACCCACGGCAGAGCGGGAGCGGGAGCGGGAAGGGGAGCGCACGCGCAGACGCAGCGCGCAGGCGCGAGGCGGGACCCCCTCGCGTGCGTGGGAATGGGCGCCATCCCACGCTACACGCGCCGTGCCGCTGCCCGCTTCCGCCCGCCGCGTGCCGGCAGCGCAGCCAACGGCATGGCGCTGCGGCTGCGTCGCTGCAACTGACGCTGGCGCCGGCAGCATCGCCCCCATCCCGCTAGCCAGCAGCGGCGTACAGCATCCAGCGCGCGAGCGGCTGGCGCTTCTCCTCGTGCGCCGCATATCCTGCCGACGAGCCGCCAGCCGTCGGGCGCGGGCAGCGAGCGCAGCGCCGCGAGGCATGAACGGCGAGGCGGCGGCGGCTGAGCGGCTGCGGCTGTGGTGGTGCGCCGCCCCGACTCCCGCGGCGCGCCGTGGCTGAGGCCCTCCGTGCTCCTCTTTCAGCCTCAGCCCAGCGGGCAGGCGGCAGCGGCAAGCGCCAGCCGCAGCACCTGCCCGGATCCGCTGCGACATCAGATGCCCACACTCGCCATCGCGAAGCCGCGAAGCGCTCGAGCTGAGGGGATGCGACGAGACGTGCGAAGCCGTTGCTGCGGCATCAGCGGCAGCATCGCAGCCGCTGCACTCCTCTCCTGCGCCAGATGGGCGCCGCTCGGCGGCCGCTGGCCGCATCTGCTGCTGCTGCGCTCGCCCAACTCCGCAGGCACGCGGCGGCACTCTGCGCGGCCTCGGAATCCAGGCACGCAAGACGCCGGGCATCTGCGCAGTGCTCGAGTTGCTCGTTCTCTGCACGCGGCGCAACTCAACAGCGTCGAGGGGTGCTGCCAGAGCCGCGTCTCGGGTCGCAGCCCGCGGACGGCGCCGCGGAGGCACCCTGCCTCTTGCTCGCGCGAGGCGCACGCCGCAACCGGCAGCTCGCGGCGGCTCGCGGCTCTCTGCCTCCGCCGCATGCCTCTCTCGTGCAAAGTGAAGCGTCGCCCGTGCTTTGCGAGGGCGTGAGGCGCGCAGGTCGCACCTCGACGAAGGTACGACGACGACGCTACCGCAGGCTCGGCCAAGCGCCATCACACGCTGCACTGCTGCAAGCTGGCCGTTGGACGTCGGCCGCAGAGCGCAGCCCGATGCTCCTGGCATGGCCTCTAGCTCGGCTAAACTGGCGAGAGGGATTCCGCAGCTGGCGCGCCTGTGGCCGACCTCGCTGCCGCTGGCGCTGGCCGAGGCGCAGCGCTGGTTTCATGCGTGCGCACCACGCAGCACACCCGCTTGCCGGCTCACGGCTCGTCGACGCGGCCCGATGCCGGCAGCCCTCGTGCTCGCTCGCTCGCTTGCTCGTCGTCGTCGATGCGTATGCTGTTCACCATCTAGGCCCTCTCTCGCCCACACGAGCAGGCCTGAGCTCTAAATCGAGCAGCGCCAAGAGAGGTGCCGCAGCGCATGTCAGATCTGGCGGCTGGCGGGCCCGCGGACGACGCGCGAGGCCCGCGCAGCCACGCTCCACCGCCCGGGCGAGGCCTTGATTTAGATTCCAGAGGGGGGCAAGACGAGGCAGGAGCGAGAGCGAGCGCGACGTCGCGCTGCAGCATCTGCGGCTGCCACGCTGTGCCGCTCTGAGACCGCAGCGAGCCGCTTAGAGCGCGCAGCGTGCCGTGCCGTGCCGCAGCCAACGCCCTCGCCCGCTGCGAGCAAAGGGCGACGAGTGCCTCCGCGGGATCCCTTGGCCGCAGAGACGGCAGCGCTGCCGCCGCCGTGCCGTGTCGCGAAGAGCGAAAGGAGGGTGCTCGAGCAGGAGGGACGCTGGGCGTGCAGCTGCCGCTCTGCAGCCGCAGCACTGCAGACGGCAGCGCAGCACGAGCTTCACCTTCCCGCCCCGTCGGCAGCGCGGGCGCGGGAGCAGCACGGCGCATGAAGCGCCGCTGCGGCTGCGCCGCTGCGCGATGCTGCCATGCTGCGCGCTGCGGCTGCGAGCTGCCGCTTCTCTTCTCCCACAGCACGAGCTGCGCCTTGCCGCAGAGCAGCGCAGCGCACCGCCGCAGCAGCAAGCGCCGGCCTCTCTCCGGCAGTGCGGGTGTGCTTTGCGCTGAGGAGCTGCCTCGACGGCGGCTGGCATGGTGCCCTGCGCTGGCCCAGTGCCGCGCCTCGGGCACGCGCCAGAGCCCCTCTCGTGCTGCGCGTTGCCGTCGGCCCGAGTGTCGGGCAGGGCAAGCTGCAGCTCGTGCGCAGGCCGTGCCCGGCTAAGCTTGCACTCGTGCATCGTTGCATGGCGAGCACATGCTCGTGCTGCCTGCCCGCCAGGCACAATCGCCATGCCATGCTCCCCTGCGTTGCGGCAGCAAGGCAGCGGCAGCGGACAGCTCACACGCATCACGACAGCGTCGCGGCCTGCTGCGCCGAGCCCTCGTCTGCATGCAGCCGCCTGCCCGGCCGCCGTCCCCCTCTCCCAACTGCCCGGAAGGGCAGCGCGAGGCAAGGCACACCCTCGCTGCTGCAGCGACAGCATCGACGTCTCAGTCTCGTCTTGGGCCTGCGCTGCGGCTGCTCTGCTCTATATCTACCACCACCACCCCCTCGCCCAGCCTCGCACACCCCTCTACCCCATCCTTGCTCACTCCCCTGCTCCGTCGCCGTCCCGCCCACCCGGCGCCCAACACACGCAGGCGCACCGCAAAGCGCCACGCCTCCTGCACCACACACGCCCGCCAGCGCCGCACCGCACCGCTGCGTCCGCCACACATCCGCCCAGCTACGCGCACGCCTCTGCACCACGCCGGTCCCGCTGCGTGCCTCGTCCGAGCCACTGCTACGCCTCCTGTTCATCCTCCCTCCACCCGTCGGCTCGGCCACCCAGCCTCGGCCACGCCGCCCGCCCGACGTGCACGGAGGCCCTCTCGCCCTCCGCCCTATTCTCCGGTCTCGTCTCGCGTGAGTGGCCTCGAGCCGTGTGCGGTGCGGTATTCCGGGCATGTGCGGTGCGGGCGAAGTGCGCAGCAGTCGGCGGCGCCGGCGGTGCCGCTGCGTCGGAGGGGCGGCGGTGCGTGCGCAAGTCGCCTGCCTGCTGGCCGTGCATGAGGCGTACGACGCCAGAGGCGCAGGCGGAGCTCGCTGTGCATTCTGCCGCCGCCGCAGCCCGCGGGTGATGGACGAGCTGCTCTGCGGCTGTGTATGCGATGCGCTGCGTCGCTGGCCCTCGGTGGCCGCAGGCGTGGCTGCTGCTTCCGCCGGCGCAGCATTCGCGGGCGGGAGCAGGGAGCGCCACAGCGGGCGGCGCGCTCGTGCGATGATGCACCTGCGCGTCAGGCCGCGGCAGGCGCACACACGGGCGGCGTGCCGCGCGCCCACCCGCGCGCCGTGGCGCATGTGTCGCGCACCGCAGCCACACGCACCCGAGCCTTACTCACGCGCAGCGCCCGCCTATTCATCCAGAACGCCACGCGAGCGCAGCTTCAAGTCGCGATACACACCGCGCCCGCCGCCCGCTGCACCTGCGCCCGCCTCGCGCAACGTCAGACGTCGTCTGCTGTGCCTGTGCGCCCGCAGCCACACGCCGCCGCACCGCTCGCTCGCTGCTCGGCCCGCCGACCGAAGCTTCCACACCGGCGTGCGCGCCGGCCAAGACACGCGTCCCGGCACACTGGCCGCGTGCCGTGCGCCGCGCCTTCCCACGTCTCGCGCTTCCGCCGCGGGCAGCGCGTCCGCCCTCGCATCTCCCCTCTTCCGCACTCGCCCCCAGCAATTATCCGCCGGCGCCTCGCTCGCACCTTAAGGCACCGCTGCTCCTGCCCAGCGTCGTTGTCCCGGCCCCTTCTCTTGCTCAGCATCGTCCTCGTCGTCGCCGTCGCACCGCCGCTGCTCGTCATCGGTGCCGGCCCTTGCCTCGCCTCTCCTGCCTCCGTCACACGCCTCCGCTCCTGTCGTCTATGACTGCCATCACCAAGCTCGAGCCCGACTCCTTCCCGCCGCAGACTTCGCCCAGCTTCGCCGCGTCCACCTGGGGCCCCAGCACCGTCCCGTCGTCGTCGTCGTCGTCGTCGCTCGCCGCCCTGCCGCCGCTGCTCCCCTCAGCCTCCGGCTCCGGCACCCTGTCGTCCGCACAGCCGTCGTACTACGGCGAGCACCCGTCGCGCCCGCCGCTCCTGCAGCGCACCAGCGGTGGCCTCGCCGACATCGACCCACGCACCGCACCGCGCTCCGTCCACCACCCGTCCAGCGCCGCACTCATGAGCACCAGCGGCTGGTACACCGGCGGCGGCGGCACGAGCTCGTCGTCGCTCAACACCGCCGCCGTGCCGCTGTCGCGCAGCCACGGTCGCTCGACGCTCGCTTCGGGACCGACATCCGGCGACTCTTCCAGCTACCACAGCTACGGCAACCACAGCCACTCGGCCGCCGGCTCGCACAGCGGAGCACACTCGCTGCTCTCCCAGTCGCCGCTCACCTCCGCCAGTGCACCACCGCAGCCGGCACACCCGCTGCCGAGCTGGCTCTCGCCGGTGCAGTCGTCGCACAGCGCCGGCCTCGCCGGCAGTTCGCCGTCGACCGGCAACCATCACGGCAGCAGCGGCAGCAGCACGACGCACTCGCCGTACAACGCCGGCACGGTGCCGTCGCACAGCTCGCTCTACACGTCAGCATCGTCGGGCCACTCGCAGTCTGCACTGCCGCTCTTCACCTCGGCATGGAACTCGCATCAGCAGCACCACGGCAGCGCCGCCAGCTCCAACACCGCCTCGCACTACCAGTCGTCCGGCGTCGCGGTCCCGGCCGGCTCCGTCACGTCGCCGGGCGAGTACCACCACACCGGCAGCCAGTCGGCGTACAGCGCGCCGAGCTACACGTCGCCGCTGCCCGGCGGTCCGACGCCAGGCAGCCAGTACTCGGGCGATGCGCCGTCGTCGTACGCCGGCTCACACTACGGTGGAGCTAGCACGCCGGGTGCCGCAGCCTCGGGCGGCGCGTCTCACTACACGACGAGCGCGCAGCAGCAGGGCTCCGGCCTCGGCCTCAACCCGCTCGGCATCAACGTCGAGTCGGGCTACAGCGGCGGCCGCTACCGCAGCGACACGACGTACGAGAGCAGCAACCCGCTCTCGCGTGCCTCGGACTACGGCCCGTCGTACGCCAGCCGCATGCACTCCAGCTCGACGGCCGGCGGCCTGAGCCGCTCCAGCTCGAGCTACCTCAGCAACAGCCTCGCCTCGCCGCCCGTCCGTCCGCAGATGGGCATGCGCACCACCTCGGACCCGTCCATGTCGACCGTGACGTTTGGCTCGTACACGTCGCTACACGACTACTCGACGGACGAGGCGCGCTGGAACGCTCTGCTGAACCGCAGCCACTCGGCCGATCGGTGAGTCCGAGAGTGTGATGCGCACCACGTGCAGCTGCTGACCAGCCACACAGTGCCTTCGTCTACGGTGCGATGACGACGCGCATCTTCTGCCGTCCGTCGTGCGCCTCGAAGCGTCCGGACCGCAACCGTGTGCGCTTCTTCAGCTTCCCGAATGCCGCGCAGCAGGCCGAGGCGGCGGGCTTCCGTGCGTGCAAGCGCTGCAAGCCCGGCACCCAGGGCACGGCGGACCAGTGTGTGCTCGCCGTCGGCGACTGCGTGCGCCACATCACCAACTCGGCCGTGGCGGGCGAGAGCGGCGACGGCGACCTGAAGCGCAAGACGCTCAAGGAGTACGCCGCGCGTGCGGGCCTCTCGGCCTTCCACTTCCACCGCACCTTCAAGGCCGTCAGCTCGCTCACGCCGGGCGAGTACGCCAAGGCCTGCCACGCGCTGGCGCTGCAGGACGCCATCGGCCGCGATGCCACTCGCAACGGCGACGTCGTCACGTCGCAGGCCCTGACGCGTGCACTGCTCGGCTGGTCGACACGCCGTGCCCGCCGTGCCGTCGGAGGCATTCTGCCGTCCTCGTACGCCGCCGGCTGCCTCGAGCTCAACATGCTCCTCGTCACGGCGCGCGACACGCCCTACGGCAACGTCTCGGTGCTCTACACCGAGGCCTCGCACGGCGACCACGCCAGCGACGACTCGTCGGCGCACGACGACGAGGCCGGCACGCTCTTTGCCGTGGCGCTCGGCCACGAGTCGGAGCGCCGCCTGCAGGTGCGCTGTCCGACGGCCGTGCGCATTGCCGACCGTGAGCCGTGGCTGTACGACATCGTCATGCGCCTCGTGCGTGCCGGCGACCGCGAAGTGCAGCTGCCCGACGAGGTGGTGCCGAGCGTGCGCCGTGCGCGCATCTGGAACGCCGTGCGCAAGGATCTCGAGCGCAAGGGCGCCGACGAGGCCGACGAGCCCGAGGCGCCCAAGCAGCAGCAACAGCAGCAGCAGCAGGGCGCCATGTCTGCGCCCATGCACCCGCAGATGCACGCCCAGTACGCCTCGCACGCGCACCACCAGATCGCGCCACCGCAGCACCAGCAGGCGCACTCGACGCAGCAGCAGATGCACGGCATGCCCTCGCACCAGCAGCAGCCTCAGCAGCAGATGCAGCAGCAGCAGCAGCAGTCGCAGCACCACCACCACCTCTCGCTCGGCGGCCACTTCCCTGCGCCGCAGCCGCAGGCGCATCACCCCATGATGTCGCAGCAGCCGCAGCAGCAGCAGAGCCACCAGCTCGCGCAGCAGCAGCAACAGCTGCTGCGCCGCATGTGAACGCCGCCATCGCTCGTTCCCTCTCATACACGCATCCGGTCTCTCGTCTTTCGCCATCCTCCTACTCGCTCGGCGTTTCTCCTCAGCCTTGAGTCCTATGTAGCCCGCCTCGTCTTCTCCCTTGGCGTCCTATCCTCGCAAGTCTCTCAAGCGCACGTCTCGCATGTCGTCCCACTGTACCACCTACATTTACCCCCCTGACTGTCCCACTACGCCTCACCGCCTCGCGTCCACCTGTCCCCTGCGGCAGCGACCAAATTCTCATGAATCTATTCCTCTTCCCGCGCACCTTCCATGCCTGAAGGCCTCAAGAGCAAGCAGCTGCCTATGCTCCGCGGCGCCGATGCCAGATGAGGTGCGGGCGAATGCAGCGCGCTGCACTTGCTCTTGCTGCGGCACACAGATGCGTCGGCAAAGTCGAGTCCAACGGCTCCGCATTGCTGGAGCGCCACATACGCCCATTGCTCAAGCCGCATCGTCGAACGCCGGCAGGCCCCATTCCTCGGGCCGGAAGTCGAGCAGCGAGTCGAGCACCTGGTCGGCGCCCAGATCGCCCTCGGCCAGCAGTGTCTCCTTGATCTGTTCGGCGCATGCGTCAGTGCGAGCATGGAGTGTGCCTTCGCTCGCTGTCGGGCACTGACGTTTGGGTCTGGGATCTGGGTGGCTGGAGCGTCAGATGGGCCCTTCGCGTGCGTCGGGCTAGGACAACTCACCCAGATGACCTTCATGCCTGCCGCCTTGGCAGCTTGCACGCCCGGCTGCGGCCGCATCGCGTTCAGTCTTCGCTGGCTTCCGCAAGAGCACATCGCGCCGACGCACCTTTGCGTCCTCAAACACCAGAATCTCATGCTCCAGCCCACCGCTCGTGCCGTCGTGCTCGGCGCCCCACATGCGCGTGCCCTCCTTGATCTCGGGCACGCCCAAGCCCTCGCGCGCCGCCAGCAGGAAGACGTCAGGCGTGGGCTTGCCGCGCTTGAGCCGAGGGTCGTCGCCGCAGATGATGCGCTTGCCGAAGGGCTCGAAGAGCTGGCCGTTGTGGCCCGACTTGAGCTTGACTTTGGAGCGAGGTGGGTACTGGCGTCAGGGCCTCACAGTCCTCAGGCCAAACATGTCTCGCATCACTCACAGTTCTTCCGCTTGCTCCCCGTCGCCACGCACATGTGCACGCCATGCTTCTCGAGGTGCTTCACCAGCCTCACGGCGCCCGGCAGCGGCAGCACGCGGCGAAAGTGCTCCTCGAGCCGCTCGTTGCGGCCCTCGAGGAAGTTCTCGACGGTGAAGGGGCAGTCTTTGCTGATCTTGCTTGGGTCTTCTGGTGAAGGCCACAGTGCGGACAGCAGGATCTCTGTCGCGACTCGCTCCGGCGTGCCCATCAGCCGCGCCTTGATGGCGTACGACTGCGTCTTGTTGTACGGCGCCAGCACCTCATTGACGACGGTCGTGTAGATCTGTCACGAGCAGTGAGCTCGGAGGATTCAGTGCAGCAGCAGCAGCTCACACACCTCTTCAGAATCCAACATCAGGCCGTCCATCTACCCTTGTTAATCGTCAGATACGGCCCGTGCGTGAGATGCGAGGCTGCACTACACTCACGTCGAAGAGCACAGCCCGAATGGGGCCTCGAGATCCCGCCATGCTGGACGCTGGACGCTGAAGCTCGGAAGTGACGATAACTTAGGCTGCGATGTTGAGGGTCGAGACGCGGCGCAACGTGTGCGAGAGGAGTGCAGAGGGGAGGTGGGAGATGGGATGTGGAGAGAAGGCACTCGGCCTCGCCATCATGCAGCCCTAGGAAGCTCCGTGCACCGGACACGTCACGTGATATCTAGGTCCGAGCATCTTCCTGTTGCTCCTTCGCAAGCGACTCACAGACAACGACGAGCGAGCAGAGAAGACTCGAGTCCTCCACCAGGCAGACGCAGCGACTGGAGGGAGTCGAGGCGAGCGGAGCGATAATCGCAGATCAGCCCGTCGCCGACTCGACGTCGGCCGGCAAGGCAGGCGACCTTCAAATCTCGGCGCCCGACGTCGTGTCTCGCGATCCTGATTATCAAGATGCGCTAGGCGAGCGGGACAAGCCGGCGCCGGCGCCGTGCTCGCCTTCACGACGAGACGGGCCCAAGGGGTGCGGCGAGGCGAGCACTTGGTCCCAACACCCGGGGCGACGACAGCTGCAGGCGGTCCAGGGTGCAGGGTGCCGCAACTCCGCTTGCGGCGGTGCGGCACGGCTGCGAGAGCGCTGGCGGTGCGTTCTGCCGCCTCGGAGGAGGAGCAGCGCCGGTCGGTCCGACGTGTGCGCGTTGGGCGAGCAGCAAAGGCGAGGCAGGCGGGCAGTCGAGTGGCGCCGGCCGGCATCTGATGTGCCTCGGACGCGTGCGGCCAATTCGGCGCGTGGCGGGCGGTGCGGGTGCACGGCGCGCACGACGAGCTGGGGTGCGGCGAGGCAGGCACGCCGCCAGTGTGCGCCGCATCACGCCAGCGCGCGAGAAGAACTCGCTTCAGCGCGCGCATTCCAGCGAACCCGAGCTGCTGGAGAGCCTCTCGCTCGCCTCGCTCTCACCACCACCTCTCAGCGCATCTTACTCGCGCTCTCCACACGCTCCTTTTCCATCACCCACCCACACACACTCTCTTCACCATGGCGCGCCCGCAGAACGTCGGCATCAAGGTGCGCCGCCTGGTGTGCTCCACTCGCTGCCGCTCCCGCTCACCCCACTGCTGCACAGGGCTTCGAGATCTACTTCCCCAAGCGTGTGCGTCGCGGCGGCTGAGAGCCTGCTTGCCGCTCCGTGCTGATGCGCTTCCCTCTAGTGCATCTCGCAGGACTCGCTCGAGGACTTCGATGGCGCCGCCAAGGGCAAGTACACCATCGGCTTCGGCCAGAAGTTCATGGCCAGCTGCGACGACCTCGAGGACGTCAACACGTTTGCGCTGAACGGTGAGCTGCAGATGCGGCTGAGAGGTCTGTACTGCAGCAGCGGCTCACCTCCGCCCAGTCACCGCCGGACTGCTGGAGAAGTACAACATCGACCCGCGCTCCATCGGCCGTCTGGACGTCGGCACCGAGACGATCATCGACAAGAGCAAGTCGGTCAAGACGATGCTCATGACGCTCTTTGCGCCGTCGGGCAACACGGACATTGAGGGCCTCGACTCGAAGAACGCCTGCTACGGCGGCACTGCCGCTCTCTTCAACGCCATCAACTGGGTCGAGTCGTCGTCGTGGGACGGCAGAGACGCCATCGTCGTCGCCGGCGACATTGCCATCTACGCAGAGGGCAGCGCCCGCCCCGTCGGCGGTGCCGGTGCCATCGCCATGCTCATTGGCCCCGACGCGCCGCTTGTGTTCGAGCGTGAGTGCGCGCGCGCGCGAACAAGGAAGGCGCCGCAAAAGGCAGGGCTGGAGGCTCTGCGCGAAGAGGCAGGGCAGAGCAAGGGATGCGTGCAGAGCTGCGCGCCGTGCAGACGACAGAGACCTGCTTCCTTGCGCGAAGCTCTTGGCGCGCTTGCGGCATCTGCGCACTTGCAGCGCATCCAGCTGCGCGCAAATGCTGCTACTCGGCCCTGTGTGCTGCTCCGAAGAATTGCGCGCTGATCACAGCCTCTCGCAGCGGTCCACGGCACGCACATGTCCAACGCATGGGACTTCGTGAGTCGCAGCAGCACACGCTCTGCTGCCTTCTCTGTGCTCACGCGCGGCGCGCTTGCAGTTCAAGCCCAACCTCTCCTCCGAGTACCCCACTGTCGACGGCCCCGAGACGCTGCAGACGTACCTCGGCTCCATCGACCACGCCTACGACGCCTACCGCCTCAAGGCCGCCAAGGCGGCGGCCAAGAGCAGCGGCAAGGCCAACGGCTCGTCCGACGACGCCGCGCTGCGCGCCACTGTCAAGCTCGACGACTTTGACTACGCCATCTTCCACAGCCCCTACTCGAAGCTCGTGCAGAAGGGCTTTGGCCGTGTGGTGAGTGGCATGTGTGACGGCTGAGGCGGCATGCAGCAGGTCTGCGCATACACGCGCTGACACGCGCGCGCGCGTCAGATGTACAACGACTTCCTGTCGGACCCGAAGAACCCGGCGTACGAGTCGATCCCGGCCGAGTTTGCCTCGCTCGACCGCAAGTCGACGATCACGAACAAGGACGTGGAGAAGGCGTTTGCCGGCCTCTCGAAGAGCGTGCAGGCGCAGAAGCTCGAGCCGACGATGGACACGGTGCGCCGCGTGGGCAACATGTACACGGCGTCGCTGTACGGCGGCCTGGCCTCGCTGCTCTCCAACGTCGAGAGCGCGTCGCTGCAGGGCAAGCGCATCCTCATGTACTCGTTCGGCAGTGGCTCTGCCGCCTCCTTCTTCGCCATCAAGGTGGCCGGCGACGTGTCGAACATCTCCAAGACGCTCGACCTCAAGGCGCGCCTCGACGCCATGGAGGTTGTGCCGTGCCAGTCGTACGTCGACAGCCTCAAGCTGCGCGAGGCCACGCACAACGCCGTCGAGTACAAGCCCGTGGGCGACAAGAGCAAGCTGTGGCCCGGCAGCTACTACCTGCGCGAGGTCGACAGCATGTACCGCCGCTTCTACGAGCGCACGCCCAAGGCATAGACGGGGATGCCTAGGCGCCCCACTGGACTTCCCTCATACAGGCCTCGCTCGACAGCCCATCGGGCTAGATCCGTCGCTCCACGCTCTCTTGCACCCCATCTCTCGCTCGTGCCTCGCTCTTCGTCGCTGTGCTCTCCCTCGTCATCCATCATCATCCTCTCTCTCACCCTATTTGCTCCGCGCGCCTGCCCGTGCGCGCCGCCTCCCGTGCGCCCCCCACCAGTTCCCTGTGCAGCTGCCTGTCGTCTCGATACATCGCGCGTAAACCAATGCAAGATTTGCCTCGACCTCGACTGCTTCTCGACCGCTCTTGGTGGTGTAGTTGCTGCCGCTCGATGGCGCTGGTGGTGCTGCCCGGTGCTGCCGCCATGTCTCTGCGGCCGAGCCAACTCTGACCCCAGCAGCTACCGGCCGGATCGCTGCCTCTGGTGACGCCGCGCAAGGCGCTGACGCAGCTCATCTCACCTCTTTCTGTTGTGATGCACAGCCTGCGCGACGCAGCCTGCCCCTGTGCCTATATCGGGTATCACGTCTCAGCGGCCAGGGCAGCGCTGTTCGTTCCTGCCCAGGGGCCAGTTCAGCGCCCGGGGGTAAGCAGCGACGCCCTCGAGGGCAATGGCGTCGTGCCGGATAAGCCCCGTGCACGTGCGGCGTCTCTCAAAGCGGAGCTCAGGAGCGCCTCTCCTAGCTTTCTGGTGCGCTGTGGCAAGCGATGCCGGGCGCCGGCAGGCGCTGTGGGCTGTGGAGTCGAGTGCGACGAGTCTGCTCGCAGGTCTAGGCCTTCACGAGGGACGCGCGGCGCGGCACGCCCCCCTGGCCCCCTGAGGGTATCGAGGCGGGCGGCAGGGGCGCGGCGCGCGTTGCTCAGGGGGCGTGGCGCCTTGCGCCCAGAGGGCGCAGCGGCGCCCAAGGCCGAGGCCGCCGCCTCTTCTCGGGCGGCCACTCCTGCGGCTGCTTCCATTCGTGGGTCGTGTGCGTCACCAGATGCAGCGCCAGCTCCCCTTCCAGACAGGAGAGGGCCGAATGGGGCGTCCATCGCGGGCCTGGGCGCTGCCAGTGCTGGGCGTCTGATGAGTGCGCAGCGGATAAGGACTGCCGCTCCACACCTCCTGCCGCGTCCGCATGGCGCGTGTTGCAGCGCCGTGTGGCAGCCGCTCAGCCGTCTGGCGCAGCTGCGAGAGGCATGCCTCTCGTCTACTTAAGCAGCGCCCTCCGTCTCGTCCTCGCTCTTCTCCCCATCCACTTTTTTGATCACCTTCTACTTCGCTCAACTCTCTTACAAGCGCTTGCAAGCCCAACCCTCTTACACCTCTTACACCTTCACCTCTACCTCTCTTCGCTTTCTTCTCCAGTATGCGCTTCCTCCTGCCACTCGCCCTCATTGCCCTCACGACGCTGGCCGTCGTGTGGGGCAAGCCGGTCGCCTTCGAGGTGCGCGAGCACTCGACGCGCCCCGACTACGTCATCTTCCAGCGCTGCGTCGGCCTCGGCTGCTCGGAGCGCAAGCCGTACGCGACCAAGCGCGGCACGCTCGAGGGCCTCGGCCTCTTCGACCGCCACGTCGCCTCGGGCACGCCCTCCCTCTTCATGGGCGCCCGCCACAAGCTGCCCGGGCCTCTCGGCGCCGACAAGCGCGAGACGGCCACGCCCTCCACGCAGTCCAAGCCGCTCTACTCCAAGGTGCTTAACTTCTTCTGCACCTCGCTGCTCGGCTGCTGACCAAGACCGCTCTCCTCGACCGCCGCCACTGCAGCTCTTCGCCATCTTCAAGGCCGCTCCCAAGGTCGCCAAGACGGCCGACAAGCTCACCAAGGAGAAGCCGGAGGAGTCGTCGTCCAAGCCCGCCGCCGCCGGCACGCCCACCACGCCGCAGGCCGCCGGCGCCGCCAAGCCCGCCGCTGCCGTCGAGGCCAAGCCGGCGGCCGCTGTCAAGCCCGCCGCGGCGGCCGCCAAGCTCGAGGCACGCTACCGGCGGCCAGCTGGCCCCGTACTGCCCTAAGCGGCTTCTCACACTCGCTCAAATCACTCGCAGGGGTGGGCTTCCGGAGCGCCGGCTGGTCCGGGCGATGGAGGATGAGACGTGGTGCCCAATAGTCATGTCTTGCATACGGAGAACACAGTGTCTGAGCGTGAAGAGCGGCCCGTCTAGCGCCTGCGGCTGCGAGTGCCACCTGTTGTCCGGCGTGCGCGTCTGCAAGAGAGATGCGGTCAGCAGGCAGGCGAGGCGCAGCGAGGCGACTGCTGGGGACGCACCTGAGCTCCCGCATGTATTCGACGAAGCTGCGCTCGCGCTCCTCGGTGTTGAGCTCCTGCAGCACGGGCCCGAAAGGCGCACCGAACTCGCGCCAGACGCCCTCGAGCGGCTTTGGCCCTCTGAACGCCAGGTCGTTGAGGATGGCGTGGCCCTCGTAGCGCAGCTGCGCCGCGCGGCGCACCGGATCCAGCGGCTCCTGCGTCTCGCCCTGCGCGTCGACAGTGTCGTCTGGCAGATCGACGATCTCTCCTCGCTCCAGCCGCCCGGCATCTTCGAGCATGCGCACGCCCTCGGCCCACTGACGACCCGAGCCGAGCAGCTGGAGCTCGAGCGCACTGCGTCGATGCCGCATGATCTGCTCGCGCACGGCGTTGGAGATGAGCGGCAGCGCCTCGCCTGTGAGACCGAGATCGCGCGCTACGCCGCGCGCGAACTCCTCCGGCGTGAGGCGCGAGGCGAGGTCCCACTCGAGCCGGTCGGAGAGGTGCGAGGAGAGGATGGGCGTCTCGTACTAGCGGAGCAGCGTGAGCCGACGCACGCATGTCGAGAGGCGGGCAACTCACAGCGACGGCGACGCGCAAGTCATCCTCCACCTCTGGCTCTCCATCCTCATCCTCATCGCTGTCCTCTCCCTCCTCGTCCCACGGACGCACATCCTCCTCCCACGCCACGTTGACCTGCACAGCATCCTCGAGCTGCGCGACGATCGACGCCGCCAACTCGCTGGCATACTTGCTCTCCAGGTTGAGGTCGGCGACAAAGGTGCGCGCAAACTGCAGCGGCGTAATGTGCCGCTCGCGCAGGTTCCACGTCACGACGTCCGAGATGCGCGCGCGCGGCGTCTCGATCTCGAGCGTGATGGGCACGAGAATCTCTCGCCGTGATGCCTGGGCAGCGAGGTCCGCCTCGTGTCTGGACATGAAAGGCTCAGTACACGCGCCCGCTACAGACACTGCGGACGACTCACGTGTACTTGAGCCGGTTGCGCTTCGGCTTGACGAGCCGCACCTTCTCCGGCGGACACGGCTGACCGAGGCAGTCGCCCTCAGCCACGGCGCCGCCCTCGTCCCTGCCCGCCCCAGCGACCTCCTCGTCGCTCTCCTCGCTGTCGCCACTCTCGTCGTGGTCGCGGTAGGTCGGGCGCGCGCGGGTGCTGGTGGCGCCCTGGCCCTCGCGGAACTCTGCGGGCAGCGGGCGCAGGAGCGTCGTGCAGCCGGCGGCGATGCGGCTGGCGAAGGCCGACTGCTTGGCCGGCGGGCCGGCGAGCGAGAGCGGGGCGGCGCCGGGTGCCTGTGCGGCGCGCGAGGGCAGTGGCCGTGATGGCCGCGGCAGTGAGGAGCCGCCGGCGCCGCTGCTGCTGGGCGTGCCTGGGTGCGTGCCGCTGCCGCTGGCCTGCAGATGGGAGAGCAGCGAGCGCGAGGGCGCGGGCGACGAGGTGCCGGAGCCGCCGGCGTGTGCGCCGCCGGCGGACGGCGAGGCAGTGGTGTAGGTGCTGAGCGAGCGCGGCGGCGGCGCACGTGCAGAGCGTCGGGGCCGCTCCATGGCTGAGGGACGGGATGGGATGGGCGAGGAGAGGCAGGAAGGTCAGGCCTTGGGCAGGACACGCGCCCGACGCGTCGCCCTGGCTGCTCCCACGCGCGCCAGGCACGGCTCGGCTGTAGCGTGGGAGCGGCGGCCGTGCGCGCAGCTCTCAGCTCGCGCGACGTGGAAGCGCTTCCGCTCCGCATCGGGGTGCGGGGGAGCGCCCAGCGTGACAGGCCAGCGCGCCTCTCTTCCGCACCCTCATCTCCTCGCTCGCCTGGCATGCTGCTGCCGCTGCTCCTCCTCGGCGCACTGCCGCTCGGCGCCCTCGGCGCCCTCTTTCCCGCCGGCTCGCCCGTCGTGCAGCTCGACGGCGCCAACTTCAAGCGCGAGGTGCTGGCCATCGACAAGCCCACGCTCGTCGCCTTCACCGCGCCGTGGTGCGGCCACTGCCAGCGCCTCGTGCCCGAGTACGTCAAGGCCGCCAGCTCGCTCGCCGGCATCGTCAAGCTCGCCAACATCGACTGCGACGCCGAGGGCAACAAGCAGACGTGCGCAAAGTACGCCATCCAGGGCTTCCCCACGCTCAAGCTCTTCCCCGCCACCAAGAAGCGCCTGCCCAAGGACTACACGGGCGAGCGCAGCGCAAAGGCCATCGCCACGTACGCCGCCGCGCAGCTGCCGCAGGCCGCCAAGAAGCTCGCCGCCGACTCGCTGCTGACCTTCGTCACCGATGTGCGTGTCCCCTCCTCGCTGCCCGCGCCCCTTACTGACAGCCGCTGCAGGAGCCGAGCAAGCCCAAGGTGATCCTCTTCACCACCAAGTCTGTTTCCTCGCCGCTGCTGCGCTCCCTGGCGCTCGACTTCCGCACGCGCGTGCCCTTCGGCTTCGCCCGCGGCGACGAGGCGCTGGTGCGCTCGCACGCGCGCATGGATCTCGGCCTCGACATCCCGACGGCCAACGACCTGCCCATGCTGCTCATGTTCCCCGGGCGCGCCGACGATGACGCCGTGTCCAAGGGTCAGTTCGAGACGTACGTCGGCAAGCTCAAGTACGTGCCCATGAAGGCCTGGCTCGACGAGACGGCCGCCAAGCTCGGCGCTGCGCCGCCCGCGCAGTCGGGCTCGGCAGGCAAGAAGCGCTCGCCGGCCAAGGAGAAGAAGGAGAAGGAAGAGAAGGCGGCTCGCACAGAGGCGGCTCGCGCAGCGGCAGAGCAGCGCGAGGCAAAGAAGAAGCACAAGGCTGCGGCGGCTCGCCAGCGCAAGGCGCAGGAGGCAGCCAAGCACGCCTCGGAGAATATCCCCGACGGCGCAGCGGTCGAGTGGAAGGCGAAGAAGGGCGACAAGCTGCCGCCTATCCACCGGCGCGACCAGGAGGGCAACGTGATTGAGGACCTGGACAAGGAAGATGTCGAGCGCCTAGTGCGCGAGTCGGGCGGACAGATGCTCACGAAGGACAAGGCCGAGGGCCTGCTGAAGGAGCTGGAGGCGCAGCAGGAGCGGGAGGAGCGCGCCAAGAAGCGCTTTGAGGTGAGTGGGCGTGTCGATCATGGACATAGGTGGCCCAGCTGCTGACCGCGGCGAATGTCACTCTGGCAGTCCGGCGAGGACGCGCATTCGGCAGGCGAAGGTGCAGCCGAGGCCATCAAGTCTGCCTTTGGCACGGCCTTCAACTTCGCCTCTGAGGGCGCCGAAGCGCTGGCCGACGGTGCGCGTGCCGGGCTGGGCTCGATCGCCGAGGCGCTCGGCTCGGCGGGCAAGCTCGACTCTGAGACGGGACCGTTCGCAGCCAAGCGCCGGGCGCTGATGAAGTCCTTTGAGCGCTGGATGGCCGGCGAGAACCCCGACTGGGCCGAGGAGTACGGCGAGGACTTCCGCAAGGCGCAGCTCGAGGCGCAAGAGCTGATCCGCACCGACCCTGTGCGCGCGGAGCAGGAGGCATGGAGGAATGAGGCATGGCTGCTCGAGGAGCTCAAGACGGACCGCGAAAGGATGCGCGACGTCATGACCAAGGCGCAGCGCGACCAGGTCGAGGGCATGATTGACCTCATCGAGGGTCGCCTCGCTAAGCGGAGGGTCGTCGGTGGCGCAGCGGAGGACGCGCCACGGAAAGCGCACGACGAGCTCTGAGCGAGCACACACAGGGGGGCAATGCATTCCATCTATTGTTGCTCTCGCGTGACGAGACGGTCTGTCTCAGTGCGACATCTCGCCCATCTTCTCCTGTCCCTCCAGGCGCTGTCGCTGCCGCGTCAGACGCGCGTGCACGGGCACCGAGGCCCACGCCACGATGGCCAGCATGACGGGCAGCGACTCGAGCAGCGCGAAGAGGGCCTGGCTGCTTGAGATGCCCGAGGTGGGGCCCGGTGCGGACTCGGCGAGTCGGAAGAGCGTGCGCAGGAAGATGAGCAGCGAGGTGAGGAGCAGAGTGCCCATGAGTAGGCTGTCGGGACGAGGCCCGGAGCGAGAGTAGACGCGCGCGAGGAAGACGAAGAGGAGGATCAGGTAGATGAGGAAGGAGAAGCTCTGCCGGAGTAAGGAATGCTCAGCTACGTGCATTGCCGCAACACAGCACCAGGACACGCACCTGCACACAGAGACCAGCGAGCAAGATGCGATTCGCCTGCTCCGGCGTCAGCGGCGGCACCTTGCCGTCTGCGCGCTGGCTCTCGGCGACGCCGATGAGCGCGGCGCCAGCGACTTGCAGCGCCGTCGTGAGCACGTCGGCGACGATGAAGATGGCCAGCAGTGCGCGAGGACGCAGGAGCGAGGCTGAGGCGAACGCTGGAGAGGCCCGGACTACGCTCGCGAGCACGAGATAGATGCCGGCGGTGTAGAAGACCGGGGCGACTGCGAGAGGGTCAGCGTGGCCAGGCAGCGAGAGGAGAGAGAGACGCACCGACGATCATGAAGTACTGCAAGCGGCAGCGTCAGCAGCGCGCTAGCAAGTAACCCTCAGCGGTCGCGCACCTGCACGATGAAGTAGACGAGCACAAACGGATTGCGGCTCGCCGCGATGCGCATGCCATAGCCTACGCACTGTGCAGGCCAATGTCAGCCGCTCCGCCGTGCACTGAGCACCCAAAGCCACTCATCCATGGCTGAGCCGAGCACGAAGAGCACAGCGAAGGCACGGCCGCCCTTGACGCCCTTCGCGCGCACGGCATGGAAGGTCTGCGCAAAGACGCCCCAGAGGAGGAAGATGACGAGAGCAATGACGCCATGCGCCAGCGACGGCGTGTAGCCGAAGATGTTGACGCCGCTGCGGGTGAGGATGAGCATGAGCTGCAGAAGTGAAGGCGCACATGGCACACGCACGTCTCGCCCTCGGGCACGGGCATGCGCGGGTTGCGCGGCAGCGACGAGGACATGGCGTGGCTGCGGCTGCGTTGAGGGTGTGGGTGTGAGAGAGGCGCAAGCGAGCGTGCATCGACGGAGCGTGGCCGTCGCTGCGGCGGCTGCTGACACCTCGACCCGCGGACCCGCTCTTCGGGGCGTTTGCAAGAGCAACGTCTGACCCCAGATGCAGCCCGCCATCATCGGGATCGCCCCGCCTCGCCCTCGCTCCCAGCCGCGGAGGTGCTTGGCAGGCACAGCCCGCGGGAGTTGGCCACGTCACGTGCGCACCTGGCCCTCGCAGCCTCGCTCGGGCCTTCCGCCGCCTTGCTTGCCGCTTTGCCACCGACGGCGCCCACGGGCCCACGCGCGCTTTCCTCCGGCGGCGCTGCATCCTCGCTGCACGCGGCTGCGCCATTCGGCCGCCGCTGCAGCATTCAGCGTTTGCTTGCGATGGGGTGCGCCCATCTGCTGCCGTCGGCGCCGGCCTCTGCCGCTGCATGCTGCGCCGCCACGGCCATGCAGCTCTCATGCGCGGGAAGCTTGCGCCGCCTTCCTCGCGCGTCCTGCAGATCCTTGTGCGAGCTAGGGCGCGACGGTGTTGGCCCGCACAGACAGAGCGCAGCGCCGGGACAAAGACGAGGCGGTGCGGCTCGAGCGCACACACAAACGCACAGACGGGAGGCGCATCTCGGCCAAGCGCGAAAGCTGCGCTGCTGCTGCTTGGCGGAGAGCGAAAGAGGACCCTCGGGCAGCGCACAGGCGTACTCGCCACTCCGCTCCTGGCCCTCTCTTCACCACCACCACCACTCAAGAGCCTCAAGCACCGTCGCTGCCATGGCGGCTGCCCGTTGAGGCGCATCGAGCGACGCAGTAGGCCGCAGCAGCAGCAGCGTCCAGCTGCACTCTCGCCAGGAGCATGACATTCCCGCCCAAGCACCTCCAGTGGCCCTCGGCGCCGCCACTGCCGCCGCAGCGGCCGGGCATGCCGTCGCGCATGCTGCACTCCTTTGCCTCCTCGGCGTCCAGTCTCTCCGAGCGCATCCGCCCCAAGCCGCCGCCGGTGCCGCCCAAGCTGCGCATCTCGGCGCCCATGCCGCTGGGCTCAGGCTCCAAGCATAACGCCACAGCGCGTGGCGAGGAGCGAGACGGCCTGCCGCCGCTGCTGCAGGGCTTTGCGCTCGGCGAGCAGCAGCAGAAGCGCATGCGCCGCCGCAGCTCCGACTCGCTGGCTCGCCAGCAGCAGCAGTCGCGTGCCGAGCGTGCCCGCTTCGTGCGCTGGCACAGCGCCGACAAGGTGCGCGCCGCCACGCCGACCCGGCCACCCATGCCGGTGCGCTCCGCCTCGATGGGCGCCTCGTACTACAGCACCAGCGGCCGGCGGCGACGGCTGCGAAGCTCGGCCGCCATCCGAGCGGCTGCCCTAGCCGCCACGGCGCCGCGGCCACGTCCGGGCGTCCGCTCTCCAACGTGGGAAGCTGCTACCTCGAAGCCGCTGATCGATCTCAGCGGCTCGGGCTGGTACTGCGCCGACCCGGACCACGACGTGCACGCCGTCCGCGTGCGCGAGGCAGCCGAGAAGGCACGAGAGGCGCGCGAGGCAAGGCGAGAGGCGAGACGCATCGCAAGTCTGGCCGCCGCCGCTCCGGCGCCCGAGCTGCACGAGGATGACCGGCTGCACATCCTTGCGCGCGGGCCCCAGAGCGCAGCCGACGCTCGCACTCGCGAGGACTGGTGGGCCGACTAGGGTATACCACTGTGAATGAGTCATGCGATTACCACAGCGCCTGCGCCTGTGCCTGTCTATGCGTCGCTCTGCTCGAGCGGCACGGCCTGTCCCTCCTCCGCCACCTCTGCCTCGGTGGCCTCGACGGCAGCTGCCTGCTCGGGGTCCTCTGCCGCCGGCTCGGGCGCAGACAGCGCAGCGGGCGCCGACGTTGCGCCAGCAGCTGATGAGGAAGCGGCAGCGTCGGCCATCTCCATCTGCATCTGCTCCAGCTCGTCAGCCTTGCGCTGCTCGAGCGCCGCGGCCTCGGCCTTTTGCCGCATCGCTGCGCGCTGATTCGGGTGCGCGACGAACTGCCGCTCGCCCGTCTCGGTGGAGAGGTCGCGTCCGAAGATGCGGCAGGAGAGCGCGCTGAGGACGCGAGGTCAGCACATGAGCAGGTGCAATTAGCAGGCCGCAGCTCACCTCTTCTCCTGCTTGTCGAGCATCAGGTTGATGCTGGCGACCGCGCGCCACACCGGGTAGTTGAGCGTCGTGCTCAGCTTCGTGCCCTCGTGCTCGCCGGGGACAAAGTCGGCAAAGTAGCTGCCCATCTTGCGCGTGCGCATCTCGCGGAAGAAGGGCGAGTCGGGCGTCGACTCGAGCGTCGGGTAGTGGTTCTTGATGAGGAAGGCGAGGTCGGACAGCTCTGCGCGCGCAATCATCTCGTCGCGCACCATGGGCCGGATGACGGGCGCGCCATCGGCAATGGCACGCCAGCGGCACTCGAGCTGCTTGTCCTTGCCCGCCTCCTGCCGTGCCAGCGTCTTGACGCCGCAGTTGAGCATGCGCATCTTGCGCGGGTTCAGCGACGGGTGGCCGTTGATGCCCGGCCCGCCGCTGCTGACGATGGCGCGCACGGAGGAGCTCGTCATGTACACGGTGCGCAGCGGCTCGCCCTCGAGGTTGCGCACGAGGAAGTTGTGCTTCGGGAACTCGGGCTTGACGCCGTAGAAGTCCAGCACGCTCTGCGTCTGCGCGTTGCGCCAGTCGACGAAGGTGAACGGGTCCTCCTTCCACGGCACGCCACCAGGCATGCCGTAGCCCTCGTCCCGGTCGTTCTTCTTGCCGCGCGTGGCGCGCGCAGCCGCGTGGTTGTCCGGCTTGATTGATGCGTTCGGGTCGGCAACCACGAGGTCGGCCTCCGCCGCGTCCTCCTGCGGCTCGTCCTCGCGCAGGCGCTTACCCTCGGGCTCCTCTGCGTCTGCGCTCGGGCTGAGGGCACGCTTGATGCTGCTGGCGGCAGCACTGCTGCTAGCCTCGCCCTGCAGCTCGGCGCTGGTCGACGGCCCGGCCTCAGCCTCGACCTGGCGATCCTTGGCCTCCATCGCGCGGATCATGCCCGCAGCCTGGCCCTCCTCATCCCGCTCGCCCTCGAGCTCGAGCACGCAGACGAAGAAGCCACCCGTGTTCTGGTGGTGCGGGTACACGCGCATGGCGTGCTCGAGGCCCATGGCCTTCTCCTGTCCGCACGGCCAGGCCGTGCGCGGCGTGCGAGAGGCGAGAGACTTGTCCACGGCCTGCAGAGCCTCGTACGACTCGACCCAGCGAGTCGTCGGCAAAGCGGCGAGGTACTCGGCGGAGCCGGGCGCCGGTGCAGCGGCAGCGCTTGCCTCGCCAGCCTCAGCAGGAGCAGTGGCGTCGGCAGCGGGCGCTGTCGATGCCTTCTCCTCCTTCGGCTCCTCCTTCGTGAGATGCCGGCCAGATCCCGGTGCGACGCGCCAGTGCGTCAGGCCCTTGCATCGCTTGAGCATCGGGTACAGGTCCGACACGTCCACGACGCGGAGCTTGCCCGCAACGCCGTTGGCCGGGTCGGCGCCGAGCTCGCGCAGGGCTGCCGACACGACGGCCTCGTTCTCGATGGGGTTCAGACTGCACGTCGAGTAGACGAGCCGGCCGCCAGGCCGCAGCACCGAGAGGCCCTTCAGCAGGATGCGCAGCTGCAGGCTGTGCGAGACAGGTCAGCGTCGGCAAGGCAACGATCTTTCGCTGGACTCACGCATGAAGACTCAGCCCATTGCCCGCCCGCCACTCGCGCCAGATCGTGATGTTCTTGCGCATCGTGCCGTCGCCAGAGCACGGCACGTCGGCCAGCACGCGGTCGAAGCGCAGCGGCCGCGACACGGTCTGGTCGCTGCCCTCGGCGCGCCACGGCACCTCGACGCGCGGCCACATCGTCGCGTCGCAGTTCGTCACGATGATGTTGGGCGACGGCAGGCGGGCGCTCTGGTGCACGAGCATGTGCGCACGCTTGTTGTCCGAGTCGTTGGCGACGATGACTCCCGGCGGCATCGGGTCGAAGCTGTCGTACGCAGAGCTCGTCGGGCTGTGCAGCGCCTCGATGAGCTGTGCCGTCTTGGAGCCCGGCGCAGCACACATGTCCATGACGATGTGGTGCGGCTTGACGTCGAGGAACAGCGGCGGGATCATCGAGACGGCCTCCTGGCGCGAGATGGAGCCCTGAGCGCGGCGCTGTCAGCCCGAGCTCTGCAGTATGCGCGGCTGCGGCAGTGCTGCGGCTGAATCTCGCTCGCTGCAGCTTGCGCCGGCACAGCAGCTCAGCGTGCCACTGTGCCCGAGCTGCGCTCTCGCCTGCCACGTATCTCCTCCACCGCGCTGCTGCTTTGCCGGTGCCAGCCACTCGCGCCACTCACAGTGAGCGTCTCGTGCACGAGCCACTGCTGGAACTTCTTGAACTGCTCCTCCTTGCGCAGCACGCTCTTCTTGACGTCGATCTGCCAGCCGAGGCCGTGCGGGTACCAGTCGAGGGCCGTGGGCGGCGGCACGGCCTCGCCCTCGTGCTGCACGCCGGTGAGCGCCGGCAGGAAGACGTCGCGCATCTCCTGCTGCACCATGGGCGTCGTGTGCTTTCCCGGCGTGATGCGGAACGTCGTCGGCAGCGGCGCACGCATCGACTCGAGGAACGGCAGCCACTCGTCGGCGGGCAGAATGCCCTGGCCGAGGTAGTACGACTCACTGCGCGAGCTGCTGTCAGCTCAGGATCAGCACATTGCGGCTGCATGCGACGCACAAGACCTTGTTGTCCATCTCGATGGGCTGGGTGCTGTACTCGCCGCCAGCAGGTGCGCCGCTGCGCTCGCTGCTGCGCCCCTGCGAGCCGCCTCCACGCGAGCCGCCGCGGCCGCGCCCGCCGCCCCGTCCGCCGCCGCGTCCTCGGCCACGAGCCATAGTGAGAGGTGTGAAGGGTGGAAGCGAAGTTGATGCACGCGAGTCGAGGCTCGGGCGCGCAGGTGCTGTGGAGGGAAGGCAGCCTCCAGCGCCGCGCCGCCTCGCCGTCTTCCAGGCCAGGGCAGGGCGCGGCAAAATCCTGGGGGCGCGCGCGCACGTGATGCGCCTGCGCCTAAGCCACGGCTGCCCCGCATCGGGCTGCGGGCTGCGCCTCTCGCTCTCGCTCCTCACCTTCACAGCGCCATCCCAATGCCACTCGTCATCCTCTTCGGTCGCCGTTCGTCGACACGAGCACAGAGCAGACGCAGTAAGGCCGAGTGAGTCTCATTGGGGTGGCATCTAGGGTGGACAATGCCGCTCGCGCACGGGGTGTAGCAGAGTGCGCGAGCGGAGAGCTCGACTCGGGAGACGAGAAGGGGTAGGGGGATCGGCGCCACGTGGCGCATTAGGGTCAAAGGATGGTGAAAGTCGCGAGGAGAATGTCGCGAGGTCGGGAAGCACGGCGGAGGCACGGACGAGAGAGACGAAGCACGGCGACGCGGCGGCGCCCGGTGGGCGAGGGCGCCTTAGGCTCGGCGTCGCACGAAGGCGGCGGTGCTTACGCCTCGATGACCGTGGCGTCGTCGTCGTCGCGCTCCTCGACCTCCGAGTCGGCGTCGCGCTCGTTGATGGGCTCAGTGGACGCCTCATCGCGCTCCTCGACGTCGCGGTGCAGGGACTTGTAGTGGATGTCGCTCGTGCGCTGGATGCCGGGGTACGCCGTGCCGGGGCCGACGTTGAGGCGGCGCTCGTTGTCGCGCTCGCTGATGGGCACGATGACATAGTCGCGGCCGGCCAGGTCGGCCTTCTCCTCGGCGCGGCGCGTGTGCGGCTTGTCGGGATTGAGCACGCCGTAGCTGATCTCGGTGCGGCGCGTGTGCGGCTTGTCGGGGTTGAGCACGCCGTAGCTGATCTCGGTGCGGCGCGCCGGCGGACGGTCAGGGTTGAGCACGCCGTACTTGAGCTCAGTGCGGCCGAGCAGGTCGGCGTCGCCGAAGCTGCGACGCGCCGGCGGGCGGTCGGGGTTGAGCACGCCGTACTCAAGCTCGGTGCGGCGCACCATGCTGCGGCGGCCGTTGTCGGCGTTGAGTGCGCCGTAGCTGATGTAGTTGTCGCGGCCTGCGAGCAGCTCGGCGTCCGCGAGAGCGCGGCGCGGGTTGTCGGCGCCGATGGCGCCGTAGCTGAGCTCCGTGCGGCGCTCGTTGGCGTTGTCCGGCTTCGCGTCGGGCGTCCAGTAGAGGACTGCGGGAGCGGGAGTGAGAGGCGTCAGCATAGTCGAGTCTAGAGAGGACGCACTGCCGTTGCGGCCGAGCAGAAGAGAGCGAGCGTAGCCGTCGACAAGATCGCGCCGCGTCGGCTTCAGGATCCTGTTGAGGTAGCGAAGACCCTTCAAGCCCTTGTACACCACCCCAGCCTTCGTACGAAGACCTGGGTCGCGCGAAGCGAGCTCTGTGAATGACGTACCGTCGCGGTCAACCAGAGCGTCGTCGCCAGCGTCCAGTTCACCGCGCCGGCCGTAGTGCGTGGGGTCGGTGATCTTGCCGAGATGGTTCGCGGCCGTCTGAGCGACCTGGGTGGGCCGCTTGCCGAGCAACCGCCACACGACGTTCGCCTTGCCGCGCGCGTCAAGCTCTGAGAAAGGAAACGCACCGTCGCCGCGGCCGATCAGCTCGAGCTCGCCGGCGGCGCGCCTACTCTTTCGGTTCTTCGGGTTCGGGTCAATGCCCATGTTCGCAGCTGCCTTGTTGGCGGGGCCAGCGAAAGCCTTGCTAACAGAGTTAGACACAGACTTGCTGACCCGCGCCGCCGCCCGCCCCGCCTTGGCAGCAAGTTTGCGCCCCATGTAGCCCTTCTTCGGCTCGCGCGAGAGAAGCTCACCTGCGTTCTCGTGTGAGCGAGATGCAAGAAAGACGCCGCCACTTTCCACGTCGCGCAGCTCCTGCGGGACCAGCCCGCTGTCCTTGACCTTCTGCGCCGCATGCTCCGTGTGGTGCAGGAAGCTCTTGAAAATGTTTCGCGCCATCACTGCCCCAGCCCCAAGCTGCTCACCTGCGTCGTCAGATGAACGACGGTACGGCGCAGCCGGAGGCTTCGACGGCTTTCCCATCTCCACCTCCTTGCCCGGGTTCGTCGTCGCCGGCTTCGGCGCCGGGCGCTTCGGGCGCAGAGCGTTGCGGGCGTCGCGAAGGATCTTGCCAAGGTTCCGAGTCTCAACTGCCCGGTCGCCGTTCAGCGCAGGTTCGTGCTCGAAGGAGCGCGAACGCACGCGAGAGCGGAAGGCACGGAACGTCTTCAACGGACGGCCGGCCAGGGCACCTCCACCAGCGCGAGCAGCGAACTCGCCATCGGGCGAGCAAGGCAGGGCACCACACGTCTCCGCAGGAAAGCCAAGACCGAGCTCGCGCGAGTCGTACTCACCGTCGTGCTCGCCGCGACGCTGAGCAGGAGCGGGGGCGGGGGCGGGAGCGCCGCCGCCCATCATGTGACCGAGGTAAGCGCCGCCGCCGACGACAGCAGCGCCCTTCATGATCTTGCCGAAGCGTCCCTTGGGGTCGCGGGCGTCGAGCTCGACCTCGTCGCGGCGCATCTGCGAGCCGAGGACGGCGCCGCCGAGGACGTGGCCGAAGCGCGGGTCGCGGGCGTCGAGCTCGACCTCGTCGTCGCGGCGCATGAACATGTTGCCGAGAAGAGCGCCGCCGCCCACGGCGCCGGCGACCTTGGCCATGTGGCGCCACCTGGGGTCGCGGGCGTCGAGCTCGTTGTCGCGGCGCATCTGCGAGCCGAGGATGGCGCCGCCGAGGACGTGGCCGAAGCGCGGGTCGCGAGCCTCGACCTCCTCGTCGCGGCGCATCTGCG